AAACACAAACGGAGGCTGAGGGCACAGAGTCATTAAAACTTTAAACTTTAAACTTTATGCATGCCATTTAAACTTTATGCATGAACATTAGTTTGATGTCATATCTCCTTTGGAGAGGTAGATATGCAGTCTCAGAGCTCTCTTTTGCTGGAGGAAATTCAAGCCCATATCACTTAGGATTGTACCTTATGCACAAGATAAGGGACTAGATGGATGAAAAAGGCACCTACAATACTCAAATACCAACAGTGAACATAGAAACACTTCGAAATCCAGGTAATTGTTCTCCCAATGCATGCCCTAAATGCTACTTCACAAGGTCAAGATGTCTCTTGCGCTCTCTCTTTGGAGCCCAGTGAAATTGTCTGCTTTCTGTCTCCAAATGTTATATTACCACAAAGAGTATGAGGAGAACGACTTGTCACTCAAACTAGTGTCCACACTTGACTGACAGCAGGCTGCAGCAGGATAGATAGGAATTAGCCTTTCCTGTGATTTGGACATCTTTCTCTTTCTAAATAGTAGCACCCCTATAAGAATTTATAGGGTAATATTAATAATAAATGCCCTGAAATCAGAAATAATTTTGGTTATTTTGGGGGGACCTCTATTTACTTCATGATCTTGTGTTCTCTTATGTGCAAACCCTATTCCCACATATCATCCGTGGGGTAAATTGGCTAGATATAGCCATAACACCTGTAACTGATTGAAGGGCAGGCAGTGAGGGGAGCTTACTGAACTTCTTATAGAAGGAGAAAAATCTCAGTCAAAAGCAAGGCTTTTTTTGTTGTTGGACCCTAAACACCTTAGCATCTGTTATTGTTATTTTTAGCAGGAGGAGGATCAAGTACAGCTTACACCTTTGTGTTGGACAGCAGTCCCAAGAATAAATGTAAGCAGGCCAAAGAGTAGCACAAGACTCCAGGCCAGCACAATCATGGATGCCAGATGACATTAAAGAAACTAGGAATCCCTAAAGTCAATTTGTACCCTCCACACATATCAGTAACCAGGACAAGGGGCAAAAATTACTTACCTTTAGATCTAAATCTAGACATCTACTGCGACTCATAAACTGCAGAGCTGCTTGGGCTTTTAATTGGGTTAGAAAGCATTCTTCTGCATAAACTTTAGGTATTCTGTATGCTTTCCAGAGGGAAAAAATATTTGTGACTGCTAACAGGTTTTCAAAATTGTTCCTTGATACTAATCAAGCATTTTTTTCTGTTTTGCTTCTGAGTGCAGTATACAGGCCTGAGACTAGTTCCTGTTTCTCCAAACATAGTGGAAGGCAGCCTGGCAGGCTGTACTAAATGAGAGACAAATAAGACTCTATGGGGAATGGCTAGGGATTTAAGCCTTTCTTAAATGAGCATGGCTTGTCTCAAGGGAAGAACATATCGTGGCTGAGGTTTTCTGTACCAGCTAATCTTTTCAGAAACTTTACTGAGAGTCAAGAAATTAAACAGTATTATTATACATTGGCCTGGATTTTCACAAAGAAATAACCCTTCCTTATAATCCTAGTACAAATAATAATAAGAGGGGTAGCTGCAAGATACGATGATTGATTCTAATAGGAGGATCATTTGGAATTCTAAGTGGGATTCTAACTGAGAACTCAGGAATCTACCTTTGATACACCATGCAACACTGAGCACACTATGTTGTTTCCTGGTGTTTCTTTACACACTTTTTTCCATTTCAGAAAGTGTCATACGTGCACAAAGTTTTTCATAACATAGGTTCTTTAGTCTTTCATAAGGCTGTATTGTTCCTCACACATACATAAAAGACCATTGGTTGATAAATTGAACAGCTGAGAATTCTAAAAGTTTAATTGCTTTTACCATGAATTCTGATTCAACTGGAGTTTTACTGAAAGCATAAGATCTAGTCTTCTTTATTCACTATACTCTTCATGAGTAAGATTGTCTTCCAACCATGTAGCTGAAATAAAATCTCATGACTTTAACCTCTGCACGCTTTCATCTAAACTGATCTGAAAAAGAAGATTCTTCACATATTGACCAGGACTGTATAGGGAATAAGGAATGGGCAGAATTTGGAATTGCACCACATATTGGTTGAATAACAAACTAGTAAGAAATCCCAACAGTAATTTTCTGGTTGCCAAAGACAGTGAATAGAAAAATGTCAGATCCAGAGTCATAGGAACCACTTTAGGTTACAAATTATTTGTTGCTATTATTTGTGAAATATCTGTGAACATGAAGCATGTTTGAAGAAATTAATCTTAGACTGTTAACAAAAATGGACTAGATTTGTCAGATAGCTTTTCTAACAAGGATCTTACTATGACTCTAGGTCCTTATCTGTGGAAAAAGCTAATGAATGTGCTTCATGGATTTACATTTCATTATTCTAATCTTAACATTCAGTGTTGACTTGAAGTCAACAATTCTATTCTTATAACGAATTTCTATCTTGCATAATAAGACTTTGAATCATGCAGATATAACAAATATATCCAAGATTAGGTACATAACTAAAGTCCAAGAGGCAAAACACAACTATAATGAGGCTCCAGGGGTTCAACAGAGTTAATGAAGAATAAAATACCTACACTTGTTTATGTTTCTCTTATGTTGGACAGTAGATTAAGAAGTTGTGCAGTTTTATAACATTTCTGATCAGATGTGTTTTCTTCTATAGGTCGTACTGAATTTCATCCTCTTGAAACCCTCATTTATCATTTATATATGTTTTAGTAGGCTACATCTTTGATAACATTCCCATTACAGATATTTAAAAATAGTTTATTCCTCTAATATGGCATTCCTTATGAAGTAATCATCAACTCTCATTTGCCATCCAAACCTTCTCTGGATTCGATAAATCTTCTTCATCTAGACAGAAACATTTCTACTAATAACCAGCTGACATTTTATAAACATCATGGGCCAAACTCTGAAGTCTTCTCATAGACAAGAAAATTCTGTCTCAATAATGACTTCAAAAGATGGGTCATAATCTATATCATTTGTGTTTTGTGATATCTCTGCTTCTCTTTTAAGCCATGATCCCAAATGGGATCACACAACTGGCCAGCAGATCACTGTTATCAATATACAGTACTATCTCAAGTATATATTATTAAGGAACAAGAGGCCAAAAGCAGGCTGTCAGAGAAAAAAGGTCTCTGTTGGGGAAATGTAATACCTTGTGGAATCAAGACTATAAAATACAGAAAGTGTAGTTTCAGAACTGTTACAGAAACTGAGCTTTTCTTCATGGTAGATAAGGCACCAATTCTGGACTTTTTGCCAACATAAACATGGCTGCATCCCCTGATCCAGAAGTACAAATTATTTCTACTGTGTGATCAAATTCATGAACAATAATTACCTTAAGGAATCAGTATTTGAAGTCCTTTCCTCAATGAGCCGAATTTAGCTTTGCAAGACGCTTTTGAGAAGATCCTTTGACAAAGGCTATTTTTAAAAAGTTTAGTGTCAAGGGAGGAAGAAGGGAAGTCCTCTCACAGATTAGTAACTGGTCGAAGAAAAAATAGTAAAGGTTAGGTGTGAATGATAGATTTTTTACAAGGAAAGACGCTACCAGCAGAGTTCCTCAGGTAACCATATTCTGACATGTGATATTAAACATGTTCTTAAATGATCTGGTTAACAAATAAACAGTGAGGAAGAAGTCTGCAAGTTGCAGAACAGTCTTATGATATCTACATGATAAACTGGTAAATAAAATTCATTCTTGCTAAATGCAAATTCATACATACTGAGAAGGGGAACAAACCCTAACTAGGCATACATAACACTGTATTTCAAATGACCATTCACAAAGGAGATCTCAGAAGGAGATCTTATGAAGAATTCTCTGACAACATCTGTTCAGCGTTCAGAAGTGATTAAAACAGAAAATAGAACAGCAAGTATTAGTACAGAAATGGTAAAAATCAAACAGAAATAAGGCACTCCGATTCTTCCCAAAAGAAACATACTAAAATGAGAAAAGATACAAAGATAAAGAAGTTATCAGGTTGCACAGAGAGGTTGTGGAGTCTCCTTCGCTGCAGATATTCAAAAGCCGTCTGGACACAATCCTGGGCAACGTGCTCTCGGTGACCCTGCTTGAGCAGGGGGGCTGGACTAGATGATCTCCAGAGGTCCTTTCCAACCTCAACCACTCTGTGATTCTGTGAAGTTTGACTGGAGATTTGGAATGTTTTCATGGGAAGAGATGTTAAATAAACTAAGATTCTTCAGTATGGAAAAGAGATAAATATGGAGAAATATGATAGAGGTATGTAAAATCCAAGAAAGGCATGGAGAGAGTGGATATGGAATAACTATTCACTGTTTCCCATAATACAAAGACAAGACGGAAAGAAAAATGAAATTACCAGGCAGAAGGTTTAGAAAAAATAAAAAGGGAGCATTTTTCATATGACACATAATTAAATCGTAGTACACATTGCCATAGAATGTTGTGAATGTCAACAGTATAAATGGGTTCAAAAAGCAATTAGACAAAATTCATGGAAGAATTCACAAAAGACTTCTGTTCTGGAAGTCCCTAAATCTCAGATTGCTGAAAGTTATGAGGGTACACCAGGGGAAGAATCATTCTACACTTGATCTGTTTTACTATCTTTCCCAAAGCATCTACTACTAATCGTTCTCAGAGACAGACTAGTGTGCTAGGCAGATGTTTGTTCTGGTCTAACAAAGCCATACTTACGCTTTTACATAAGAAACCAACTAGATTTCTGTTGGAATTTTGATGTTCCCTGCTGTTTTAAAGTGAGCATAATTTAAAGCAGAAGTCATAATTGGACATCCAGGGATTGGATGATTCCGAACTAGTAACAAAATTCCTAGTTGGATGCCATCCCAAATCTGGTAATGAGTAGACGCCGTTGTCGTTGGACAGCTGTTTTATACTTATATGACAGGATTGATGGGGTCAATCCGATTCCCAGAGATGAGATGATTGCATCATAAAGCCATACTCACAGTTAAAACTCCAAATAAAAAGGACCTTGGCTCAGTATACTGCAGCTGTCTTCATTAGCAAGGCAGATCGATTGGGGTTCATCACAGTCCTTGCACTGACACCCATTCATTGTGTTCACGGTCATAGAATGTGCTTCTGCAAATCTTTAGTAATGTAAATGGAGAGTAGTTTTCTGAAAATGAATGAGACTATCCAGGTTTTTATACTGATAAAAAAGCATTTTCAGTTTCTTAAAGCTGTGTAGCTCTCTCTTATTTCTCTGCATGTTTTACATATGAGTATATTTCCTCATAATGAGGAATTAAGTTTAATTAATTAGATTAATTAAATTCCTCCATATGAGGAATTTAAATACCAGAATCATTACTTTGTATAATATCCCAGTTTTTCATCAGTGCCATTAAATAATGTTGCCCGGAAGTAACACAGATCATGGACCACGTGGACCCGAAGGCATGTAATGCTCTGTAGAAACGATCACAAGGAACTAAAATAGCACTGATTATAAACCAGACAGAGGCTAGCAAAGGGTTTTAAATGTCCACCAAGAAAAGCTGTAGGTCGATTTCAAATGGTTAGAACAGTGACAAATCCATAACTAGGAGGAGTCTCTTCAAGGAGAAGAGAACAAATAAGCCTGTTGTCTAACAATTTATTATGTTTTAGTTGCTAAATGCACCTGGAATAGACTATCTATCGATAGCTGCAAAATTCAAGATGGTCTGAGAGAGGACTACCTGCTTTCTGCCAGTTTGCTTTAGTCAAATTTGTTGTAAATTTGCCAACAATGTTAAAGCTTTACTTACTGCTGAAATGAGCCTATCAAATCTGAAGTCCTGATGAACAGACTTCAGTGGAAGGATGGCAGGAATTGCTTGCCTGCAGAGGTGGCACTGGGGACACATTTCACAGTGATCAGCATCCGAAAGACATCAGCACAGCTAATTCTGTGTAAATTACTGTATTTACCAATTTAGTGGGGAAATTTTAACCTAATTATATTTAAATTCAATACGCCTGTTAAAATATCAGACAGAACATAATTTAATTCTCTTTGAATTACAGCTTTCTCACTACAAAAGCAAACTACTAAATAAATGAGAGAGAATAAAGTAATGTTTTAATTCACACTTTCAAAGCTAAGTTCATCATTTGGAGTGTTTACAAACTGATGGATTGCTCAAGCATAGATTCACCCATGTGCCACCTAAGGATACTGCACCAAATTAAAGAGGACTTTGACTGAATTAGCTGGAACCACATAAGAGGTTTTCAGGCCAGCCAGCCATTTCTGTCCTTTTCATTAGATAACTGCTCACTTAGCACAACGTGGCAGAAAGAGCATGTCTCACAATTTTTTGATCATTTTTGCTTAATTTTCTTCTTTATCTATTTTTGGTTTTACTTGTGACTTAGAACTCAAGCGCATCTACCAAAGGAAACGCTCAATTCTGTTTGGTAAATTTGTGGGAGGTTGATCGCAGTTATGAAATTGGAAAACATTTGTTTACATCCTATTTCTTTTTCCCTCGCTAAGGGTATACATACATCACTTTTTATCCTGCTCCTGCATTGAACTTTTTCCTTTGTTTTTACAATAAGCTTGTTTGTCAGAGATTAGTATGTCAATCCTATTGTAACTTCTGCGCCTCCAGGGGCATATAACTAAACTATTTAATCTGTTTAATACCATTGAAGCGTTTCTGCTTCTTCCTTTATTATGATTTATTGTCTTCACCCTGTGACATCTGCTTATTCAAAATCTTTCCAACAATGTTTCTTTCCTGACTGCTAAACAAAAGACTAACACAACCACCTTTCTGCTCTTTTTTTCTGTTAGATAATTGACACTGAGGTGTTTGCCATTATAGTCTACTGGCACTTCTCATATCGCATTAGAACTTATGAGACTGGAAATACCTCACTGCCAAGGCGGTTCTACGGTATGCATTTTGATAAAGTGGTAAATACAATAATTTACAGAGAATTAGCTGTGTTAATGTCTTTCAGCTGCCTATACCCCTCTCCAGAACAACTGCTTCCAAATAAAGTTCTTTGCTTAGGTACATCAGTCAAATTACAAGAATTTCCTGACAGTATCATATATTGAAGAGCTGTACCAGCAAAGACTCTCAGATGTAGGCCTCGTTCAAACAAAGCATATACTTCAGCCTATGCTTTTTTAGCCTGTGCCACCTGTGAGGTATTATAGCCTTATTCAGAATGGCCATGCATTACTCTCAAGTTTGATGCCTTGAGTGTAGATTCATGAGTCTGGAGGATTAAAACGAATGTCTGAAGTGGTTACTGACCTTAGCTGTGTGCCTCACTCCTTCTCTCAAGGTACGGACACCTGAGGGATTTCAAGAAATGCAGGATATTTTAAGGGTCTGCAGGAACAGATTGCTTCATCCTGCCTGGGCATGAACACCTTGTTTCTGGATTCGTTAATGGCTTTTCTGAATAGTGCACAAGCATCTCCTGTGTATTTGATACAGGTGGAAACCAAGGATAAGGACTGCTGCGTAATTATCTTCAGTGTCCAGAGCATGCTCTACCACTAGCCCACGTAAGCAGTACTTTTGGCTGTTTTCTATGAGTATACATGCGTGTCTGAACGCATATGGTTTAAGTTCTTACTGTTTTTCATTTTATGGGCACTCAACCAGGCTCTGGGTGTTCTGCTGACAACATCATCTTATGATTTGGATTTACACCTACCCTGCTTACAGAGGTGTAGTTAGGAGCATGCCCTCTCTCCGCTATGAAGCCCAGTGCAGAATCCTACCCAAACACTATCTCATCTCTGGAGCTGTGGCCTTTCTGTGCAAAGCCCGCATAAACCCCAAACTAAGGTTCCCGTCATGTTACGGCCATTGAATGTCAGATTTTGCAGACTGAATAGTCTTTCCTTCGCATGTAGGCACCATTCTCTTTACTGCAACTCTTTACTTTCTTCTACTTTCCCTATCCTGCTATCTCTGGCAGTTTCTCTTTCCAAACAAAATCAATTAATTTCCAGGGAAGGAATAATCTCTTCTTCCTTCCAAAATGATCTATTAGACCCAGATACACACAAATAGATGCTGCCAGTGATCACATGCTATGAACACTTAGTGAGACTTTGCTTATCCACTGACCCACTATTGATAACACTTCTTGTCTGGGTGCTATATTTTGAAATAGTATTAGGCATAAGCATCCAGTCTTCCCTTGGCTTGGACAAACAGGTGCTTTCACAACCCTGGCTGACACAGACCAGTTGCACATCTTCCAGAGCTAGGGTTGACCATGGACTGGTCTTAGGTATTCAAGAGTATCAAGGAGAAAGGTGCTTCTGAGCTCATAGCAGAGCATGGAAGGAAATGATACCTTTTCTGACATAAGCTTGAGAAAAGAATTGCTAACAGCCACTGATTCTTCCTTAGTTTTCAACATACAGAAATGTCACTGTCCCCATTTGAAACTTCTACGTCTATTCACAATTCTTATAGCACAACTATGTGCCAGCATTCATTTTTTTCCTTATAAACTCAGAAATTCTGTGGAATGAGGACTGGAAAAACACAGGTGGTGATGGAGTTAACAGGATTCAGCCAGTCAGTCAGTCTGGATGGAATTATCTCCGTGCTGGAAGTGTCTCACTAAACTCAGTTATTCAATGGCTGGGTACACATCAGTCCTCATATGCTTGATACAGAAATATTACAAAATTCCTTCCTGGGCAGTGCTTGTGCTACTACTCCCACCCAGATGAGGAGTTAGACCCAAGTAGTGGCTACTGTTGGCAGAGCCAGCTTCCAGTGCAAGTGTTTCCTGGGGCAGCAACTGACCTCTGAAGCAAAAAGCAGGACCAACAAAGACCTATCTCCAAAATATCTATATATAGATATCTATAGAAAAGCACAGTATATGACAGCCTTTTGGGAAGTAAGGGGAAGGCTAGACACAGGAGAGGCCAAAAGATCGCACAGAATCCACATGAAAAACTGGCACAAAAGCATATCATACGATCTTTCTAACGCAGGCAGTGACCATTCATGACCTGACCTTGCAAGTACGCATTCAGCTGGCCCTGATCTATTCTACCAGATAATCTGGCTGTGCACACATATGGAATAACTGCTTATCATTGGACTTCATAACTAGGTGTAAAATCAAATAACCCTTATTTTCTCAAGCCTGCAAGTTTTATAAATTCATATTAAATTTCCACCAGATACAAAATGAAGACATTGCCTTAATCATTTTAATAGAACACTAGACTCACTTTGATCGGAATACTTACTGGAAAATATAACATGTATGAAAGAGCTTGTGCTTTTACATCTCTTTTACAACATCAGCTTGTATTTCACCGGATAATAAACTGTGTACGTATACATATGCACACACAGAGACACACAAATATATACATATATACATACATGCATGGGAACTTCGGCACCCTGAACTTGTGACATGTACCTTGCTTTAAGAAAACAATAGGAAACAGGATAAGAATGGATCTCAGGAGATCGTTTAGTCTTTCTCTCTGATGAAGTACAGGATCAGGTTTTTCACACTTGATGAAGTTTGTCTATTCTGTCCTTAAAAGGTTTCAGTGATGGATATGCATTGGTCCCCATAAAAAATTCTGTTCTGGTGCTAAGGCTGGAACTAAAATTTTAAGAGTCAAAATCTTCAAGAGAGGGTACAGTCTTTGTTTTTGTTTGTTCATACTTTGCTATACTTTAGTTTTCTTTGTACATTGGTCATTGCCTGGGGATGTGAGACAATGAACAGCTCCTTTATCAAAACTCACAGCACTCAGCAAAAAATGGGCTTGGATGATATTGACAGCAATTACAGAATATCACTAGCCTAAACCTCAGTAGAAAGAAATAGTTAGAAATACTCTCACTTACCTAATGAGAAGTAAATTGACTAGAACTTTTCAGTTTTTTTCAGATTTTTGAGATTTCTATTTACTAGATCCGTTCTGTTTAAGAGTATATGTTATCTCAAGATCCCTTCCAGCCTAGTGAGGCTAAGTTGGTAGAAAAAGGCAAGCGAGTACAGCAGGTGAAAAAAAAGCAGTCATTAGTAAATTCATCTTATTTTGCAACTAAGATTGCTTAGTTATACATGTGAAGTGAAAGAAACCTTAGCTTTCTTCATCTTTATGATTGCTCCAACAGTAGAGAGTTGTAACAGAAAAGCTAAGATTGGTATAGCTGAAATATAAGTTGAAATATTTGTGTGCAAAAGCACACACAAAAAAACCAAACAATAGAGCAAGGGCTAAAAGAATGGCTTGTATTGATAACCAAGGACAAAACTGACAGCAAACTGGCAAACACTGAGAAATGTGTTTTCCTCAAGACCAGACGGCCTGTGGTCCAACAACAGGAGGATAGCAACAAATATATACCACACTGTATGTATCATTCTTGTTCCTCTATCCTAACAGCAAAGCAGACTGTGGCCATAAAGATACCTCAAATGAGGAAACAAATGCAATGGGCAGCACCTTGCCTAAAATTCATGGAGAATGAAATAAAATTCTGAAGCAAGAACAATCAACCTAAAGTAATTTTGGGTTCCTAAAGGGTATTCAATAGCTATCCAGAAACCAGTTTGTCATCACTAATTAAGAGGAATCCAAGGGATACAGTAAGAACTCAGTAGTCAACATCCTCTGTCATCCACATAACACAGAAGCGATCCTGGCCGGATCACCTGGACATACACACCTCTTTGCCTGCGAGCATGTAGGTGTGAGTGAGTGAATCCTGGGAGTGACTTAAATCAGTTTTGTTTAAAATAAGTTTCCACAAGTTCTCACACTGAGTTTTGTTACATAAATTTCCCACAAAGCTGAGCAAATAAGGGATGTTTGCACCAAATTGTTTGTGCTGAAATGGTCCCCAAAGAAAGACCACTTGAAATAAAATGAATAATCACTTGAGTACAGGCCCTCACTAAGAAATTCATCCCTTATATGAGTGCCCTGACCATGAGGCAATGGAGTTATAGTCCTGACTGAATTCTTTGCTGATAAGAAGCCCTGATTCAGCTCTGCAGAATGAGACTGATTCAACAGTATCAACTTAACCTAGATCACAGACAATCTGGTTTTGAAATGAGCCACCAGCAAAAGGCCTGTAAATCAGGTTTCCAACACCCTCAAAGAATAGTCTAACCATTGCATAGGATAAAGGAAGGAGCGTCATCATTATTATCCCTTCTATTAGCTACATTTTTAAAAGTAGAGCTAGAGCTCTGACTGAATTTGAGGAGGATCCCAAATCTATATGCAGAGTTAAGCATATTTGGAGCATGGCTTTCAAACTGGATCCCTCTGAAGCTTTAGCAGCAATATGAGCAGTTTTTAGATCCTAATATAGCATAGGTGTGCCAAGCACTGAGCTGCTTAGGCTGGGACAGTGCAGAAACAAAGCTCTTGAGCACCAAGCAATTAGCCAGGCTGATTTGCTGAACTGAAGCACATGTAGGTTTTATGGATCAGTTTTTGATGTATGGCTGGATTCAATGAGATTAAGGCACCTAAATTTAAGCATTACAGGTATCTTAACTCCCCAAAGAGCAAAAAAGAGTCACTGGCACTACATCTACACTAGTAAAAATACTGTTCTAGGGCCTGTTCTCTCTCCTATTTGCTAGTATGTCCATAGCCTAGATGCCTGCTTTAAGGTGAGCTAACTGTCTGTATTGATTAGTTTTCCATTGACTATAACAGGGCCCTAGACACCAAGCATGCCCGTATGCATCTATATATACAAATCTAAATTTAGGGGTCTTAATGTCTAACAGTATCACTTTCATGTGTTCAGACTTTAGATGAACATTTAAAGTCATCTGTTTTAGATGCCATTGGTCTTTCTTCGGATCTGTCTCTAAATCACATTTCTGCAATAGTCTGTTTATGAATGTCACTCTATTTTTTGTGACCTACAAAATTTTAACACTGACCAATCCCTATTTTTTCTCACTTTGTTCAGATAATAGCATAAAATATTGCTAATTGATGTTTAAATTAAATAATTAAAGTTTAAACCAAAGTTTCATTTTGTGTAGTAGAATTGTTTCACACACTTAAATGCTCTAGTGCTGTTTGGTGGTATATATGCTGACCATAACAGGATACCATAATCTGGGTTAATGTTTCCTGAAAGGTTAACAATGAACAGAATGCATGACATGAAATTCAGTAAACATGCAGCAATTATTTACTGTTCAGCTCCCATAAATTTTCCATTCTTTACAGATAGCATGCCATGGAAAAACAGTGAGGTTATACCCTTGTTCCTAGAAGTCCTGACAACAGTGCTATCTGAAATCTCTTTAGTC